TTTTATCCATTTCTTCAATGCAATGTAAAAGATTGTTCTCATTGTTTGTGGAATCATTAAAGAGTTCCTGGTACAAAGCTACTCTCTTTTAAAAGTCTCTTTTTGTTCAACTGCTGCTGCTAAGGAAGGGAAATCAACAGTGTAAATGAGCATAGTCACTAATGGTCTTAGGGGCTGGTTATACTCCCCGCAGCAGTGTGTCGCAGTCAGGTTGATGCAGACATTTTTGATTTATGCCCAATACTCTGTGGGTCTAGATACGGCCAAGGCGGTGAGGAAGTGGGGGCGAGGTTTGTTCGACAACGGAGGGACATGAGAGCCGGGATCCAGGTGGAAAAAGTGTCCCAGCGCTCCTGCGCGCCTTGATCTTCTAGCTGGTCAAACTTAACAAGTTTTTTTCCGCAATTTCGGTCATAAAAACAAAACAAGCCGGTCTCATGTCTGTGGCGCTGTCTGCGGTCACCTACAGTTTGGGAGAGGTGCAGCAGAGTGTCTGCTACTTATACAGCACTTTTTCAAGCAGAATCGGTGATCAGAAACCAGAAGCCGACAAAAGATCCATCTGGAGCAAGGCAGAGGAGGGTTATCCAGGAGGCAGAACGAGAGTAATAATCTGGCAGGGAGGAGGAAAGCTAGACTCTTTTAAATAATCTGGCAGTGACTGTCTGTCAGAATGTTGAATATAAAGGTGGCAGTATAGGTGCATGGCATGAGCTGATTGCAACTGCAGCCACTAGAGGTTCAGGTGATGCTGAACTTGATCACAGAAGAGCAGGGAGACAGAATCAACACATTGTTGATTTTATTCTCACAAGACGGTTTTTAACATTAAATGCAACCTGGAAAGACTCACACAGAATTAGTTTTACTGAAATGAGAAATAAAAAGAAAAATGTAAGCATAGAGAATTACGATATTATGATTTAGCAGACGAATTAGGATAGAAGCCCCTCCCTCCCTCCCCACTCCACTCCACCCCTGAGGGGCCTGACATTAGGGGTGGAATGGAGTCCAAAGGAGGAAGGGAGCCAGATGAAAACAATGATGACGGTGAAGACGGGATGGAGGAGGGTTTGCAGCTTGATTGAGGAGAAAGCATGCATGGCGGATGCATGCACCGGGCTGATAGGCTTGCAGCAGTGGAGCATCAGGGCATGATTGGTTAAAAAAAAATGTAAATGGCCTGTACTTATAAAGCACTTTTTCAAGTCAGGAAACTCGACCAAAGCACTTTACACTAGATTCAGTCATTCATCCTTTATTCACACACAAACACTGATGGTAAT